TTTCTTCACCACATTTGCTTATTCACCCGCTTTGTCTTCAGCGGTTGTGTCGGGAAGGTGAGCATCATAGAATGCCAATTTAATAGAAGAAAATATTCTTGCAATGAGGACTACTTGAGTGGAGGCCCAATGTCCTTCTGCTACCTCAATACTAAACCTATAAATATATGCACACAGATCTATTTCCCCATCCTCATATACAAATATATTTGCATAGTACATCTTTATCCAGACCTCTATAAATGCCCTTTGCCTCTCAGCTCTTTCCTCTATTTCCCTTGACTTTCCTCCTGTCCCACTATCATACTCAGTCCCCACTAGGGTTTCAGCAATTCCTCTGTTACATTACCCTTGATTATGCCCCACAAGGCCTCTCACACCCTCCTCACCACCGATTTGGATCACTTGTTGTTCCCTTTTCCCTGGGTTTGTTAACACTACTTCCTTTCCCGCCATCTCCCCCTCTCCCATGTCCCCCCGAACTGTCGGTCCCATTGTTTTCTCCTCCAGATTGCTCATCCGGCCTACTATCTTAGTTAGACAGACCTGTGGAGATAATAACATGCACAAAAACAAGACAGAGCAAAACCAAGCAACAATGTACAACAAAACAACAACAACAAACCACTGACATTTGCATATCTGCTACCTCCCCTACTGGTCTGTAAACTTCGTAAGGGCAGTCCTTGCTGACCCCATTGTCAATGAGTCAACTCCAAATCAAGGTGGCCTGATGTGGGCTAGAGGAGCACTGTGCCCTGTAGGGTTTTCAAATGCCTGATTTTTTGGAAGCTGATCACCAGACCTTTCTTCTGTGGTGCCTCTGGGTGGATCTGAGTCGTCAACCATTTGATTAGTAGTTGAGTGAGTTAAGTGCTTGAACCATCCAAGGACTCTTTTGTAAGGGTAGAATCTTTGCTTAATTCATTTTTACATTCCTCCCACAATATGTGTTGCCCTTGGAAAGTGCTTGAGAAAGAGCTGTGAACACACAATGGAACACTATGCATCATTAAAAAATAATGGTGAAACCACGAGGTACTTCGTGGCATGGAGAGACCTGGAGACCACGATGCTGTGTGATATTAGTCAATCAGAAAAGGCCAAATATCGTTTGAGACCACTTCATCAAGACTCAAGTTTTTTTTCATAGCAAAGGACACAGACTTTGGTGGTTACCAAGGTGGGGTGGGGGTGGGGCAAGGGATGGAAGATGAAGCAGTCGGCTAGAGAGGAGACAGGTGTTAATGATGGGAAGGGGATGATCGTATTCCAGAGGGAGAAATCTAAGGTAGGGGCAGGGGAAGCTATTGGGGGAGGGAGGTGTGATAAATAGCTTCAGTTCTTGAATACAAAATTGATTATCTGAAATGTAAACTCAAAAGAACGTTTGTGTCCCTCAAACTCGCTGCCATCGAGTTGATTGTGACTCATAGCGAGCCTGTAGGACCGGGTAGAGCTGCCCCTTTCGGTTTCCAAGACTGTATAACTCTTCGTACAAGTAGAAAGCTTGTTTTCTCCAATAGAGTTCCTGATAGTTTCAAACTGCTGACCTTGAGGTTAGCAGCCCAATAATATGTAATCTCTACATCACGGGGCTCCTGAAATGTAATCCCCTACCTAATTCACAATAAAAAATATTTAAAATTTTTTCTCATAGAATGGAATGAAAAAAATCTGTGACCAAATGAGTAGATATACAGAATTAATTTGTTCCTAACACCTTCCCCAAAGCTGGTGAGTTCCAGGAGGGCAGGACTGAAGTTCTCTCTCTATTAATTTGGGGTGAGGATGTAGGTAGGGAATCCCCTTAAGACACAAAGATGGTAGCACTGTGGTCATAACTGAACTGCAGACCAAAGGCTTCAAGATCCACAGTGGACTGTGACCAACCTCTTGGAGACTCTGGCTGCCGATTATCTTATCGTGGTGTTCACCAAATATTGATCGATTGTTGTGAGTGGCTGATTTCCCAGTCTCTGAGGCCACGTTTACTGAGTAGTATGAAAGCTGTTTGTGAATGGAACTCCCCGACCCAGCCCCACCCCATTACTAAGGGTTGGCTGGGAGCCATGTGTCCTTTGGACTAGGTGCTGCATGACCTGTGGTAAGTGCCTCCCCTTTTTGCTGCCTAGAAGTTCCAAGCTGACTCATTTTCTAAATAAGCCATTTGTGGTTTCTGGTCTGACATCACATGTGGAAGAATGAGTAATTTTTCAAGAAGCTGAATTATATTTGATCAGAAGAAGAGACATGTGTATGTTACTCATGATTCTGGGAGCAGGGGGCAACACTGGTCCAAGTCCCCTAACTTTGTACCAGCCTTTCTTTTCCTGGGCCCCACAGATAGAGAGAAAGCGAGGGAAGGAGGCAGACTTGTGTCCATCTCTTTCTTTATCACCTCTCAGGTAAAATTTAACTCAATCGTATCTTGTTGCTTCTGCTAGACTAAAGGAAGACAGCAAAGTCGCTAAGGTGATGAGCTCTGCTGTTGCCCTGCTTGGATTCAAATTTTGGCTCAGCCACTTACTAGCTGGGTGACCCTGAGTAAGTCATTGAACCGTGGTGTGCCTGGTTCCTCATTGGTAAGACAGTAACAGTGCCTATCACATACCGTGGTGGTTGGGAAGAATACACGAGTTGATGTATGTACATGCTTAGGACTATTCTGGAACACGTAGGCACAATGCAGGTGTTGGTAGCTATTCCTTTGACTCCGACACCACCCTCAGGGTCATAGTAGAGGGGGAATACATGCTTTCAGACTAAATGAGTGCCGACTAAGGAGTCCAAGTGGTGGGCAGTAGAAGGAACCTTTAAATCAATTACTTTGAGTCTGGGTGTCACTCTCTCTTTCGTTTGGTTCATTTGTTCCTAGGTCGTGTGTGCTATGGTGAGAGGAGACTGCAATGCCCACGTGTTTCTCCAAGGGAGTCTACTTCCTGCTTTTGAATTGCAAGGAGGAGGTACAGTTCTAGATCCCTGAACCCTGAAAACATGGCTGAGTTCCTCAAGGAGGAGACCCTGATCCCCAATTCATTCTCTGACCTGAGTTGGCAAGTCGGTGTTATTTGGACCAGAGTTATTTTATTGAGTTCATGAGACTGGTACTATGCACAGAAAACAGGAGCTGACGTGTTGGTGAACTGACTGCTTTTTGTCAGTTATGTACAGATATGTACAGATGTGTTTTCTGTGTGCACATTTGTCGTCTTTGATTGGATAACGCTTGAATGTTCCAGAGTCCCAGAGAAGCTGGCGTGAAGTCCCTGGCGCCCACCCTCAATTACAATGCTTGGGGACAGGTGTGCAGGGAACCTCATTCAGCCTCTCTGACACCACAGCTGAGTTTCAACTGAAGCGTGAGCTTGGGGCACCAGACAAGTGGGTCCAGCTCGGGTGCTGGTGGAGCACGGTGCCATGCTGATTCAAAAGGCTACAGATAGCATCAAGTCAGTAGACACGCTGCGGTGCTGAAGGAAGTCTCACTGTGGAAACATTCACAGGGGGGCATCTGGAGGCCCAGCATGTCAACGGCTTCTAAGGACCGATTGCCGAAATCCCTCAACCACTCGCCGGGCCAGCCATTCACCTGCGGTCTTAATGCCAACGTCCTGACACCTCCATGCACTTCCTGCCACGTACAGCTTCACTCGTGGAGATGCTCCATGTGGCAAACACACCCCCAGGCCACTCACACAGCCTCTCCGTCTCCGGAGTGGCCTCAGGGAGCGCTCGTCGTGGAAACTCAGAGCCAGTCGATGCTGCTGCGTTTATTACACCAACGGTCTGAACATGTATCATTTATTTGGAGTTGCACACAGAACCCGGCCGCCTGCGCTCACAGTGTCATGCATACTTCTGGACAGTCAGCCCCACGCACCCCCCACCCCCGGGAGTGGGGGAGGGACAGCTTCCTGGGAAAGGCCTCCAGCCAGCGCATCGTGGTCCTCTTGACCATCGGCAGACTCGAGTTGCTTCGCCGGGGCAGCAGTCTCGGTGGGAAGACTGCGGGTCGGGCGGGTGTGCTTTCACAGTTACACGGGTGTAATGAGGGCACTGTGGGTGGCGCGGACGACAGGTGCGGGGCTGGATGGGCATGCTGGCACTGCTTCTGAGCTAGGCTAAGCGACCGGGAGTCCTCATGACGGAGCTCCGGCCTTCACAAGGAAGAGTCAGACATGACGGCGCCGTCACAATAAGGCCACTAAATCAACTCACAGCTAACGAGGCACTCAGAAGGAAGCTTCCAGGACTAAGGGAATGCAGCTCTCTCCTCTGATGCGGGTGCCGCTTGGCCACCAGGCCCCAGCCCTGAGCCAGCCACGGTCACGTGCCCTTTCTGAGCTGCAGGACATCACTGAGCACGACAGAGCAGAGCAGGGGCCACACACTTCAGGGTCAAGGGACATCGATCCAGGGGCTGGCTGCTGGCGAAGGCCCCCGTGCCTCTGTGTTGAACGGGGGACCCATGTGTCTCGGGGCTAATCCGAAAAGAGGCTGGCGAAGGACTTCCTCAAGCTCCGGATGGTCTCCGCTTTGGCTTCATCCTCGTTGGTTGAAGACCGGAAGAAGGAGGACTCGGAGAAGCTGAAGGCATTTGTCAGGGACTGCGACTTGCTTGAAGATAAAAACCAAAGAGAACGTGAGAGGCTGGTGCTCCGCTCGCAGCCCAGCAGGGAGGGATGGTGGCAGGAGGGTCAGGACCTCGGCCCCCCACTCCTAGCCCAAGGAGACCAGGAGAGAGCCTACCACTGGAGGGGCAGTGCTCCCCAGACTCTGGAAGGCCCTGTCCTCACCGCGGACAGACAAGGGAGACAGGAAAGAAAGGGAGAAGAGGATGGGGTAAGAAGAAGGAGGACTTGCTCAGAGGCTCTGCCATAGCTCATGCCAAGGGCCCGAGGGCTGAAGTTTAGCAACTTCCAAGGAGAAAGTGCTCATCTGGGAACCTTGGATGAGATCTTGACTCTTGCCATCCGCAATCAAGCGGTGCTCACAAGTCCCAGCTGGGTCTGGGCTCTGCCCCTTGCTCTTGTTGGGACTCAACCTCCCCATCTATGAAATGCACACATTTGGTGAGAGGGCAGCTAGGCCCTCTCGGCTCAGTTGGTTTGCTCTTCTCTCAGATTCCAGGAGAACCCTTTGCCTTGGTTCAGACTAATGGCCCGGCTTGCCTGTGTGGGAGATGAACACAATCACCCCAGCAGCCATCCTTCGAGGCTCTCCAATATAGAGTCTGCCAGGTTCAGGGTGTCCAGGGGCCAAAGAAATGCCTATTGGGCCCCTGTGGGGCCAGTTTTCTAATGAAAACCAAAGCGTACGCATTGTGGGGGCTGATTTTCCCTTTGAAGTCTAGGGCTAGGTGGAGACCCACTGGGAAGGCAAGAGAGCCCCGGGGAGGTGATGGGAGGCAGAGCCCAGCAAGCTACAAGAGGACCGGCTCTCTGGGTCGCTCAGGCCAGCCAGCTTGTTTCCCCTCAGCTGCTGCTAGGCTTCTCCTGTTGGTTTCTGGCTCCAGAACGTGTCTTCGGCTGTCCTGGAACTCCTGATCCTTTCTTCAAGGCTGGCTGCAACCCAGGAAACTCCCTTCTCTAGGACCCTGGACCATGTCCCTCCCGCCTCATGGACTTGTGAACAGATGCCCAGCCTTTCCTAAGGGCTGGGGACAGGCCTGCACATGCTGGCCTCGGCTGAGCACCTTAGCACGCATAGACAGTGGGCCCTGGGTGCACGTTTCCAGCTTGCTGGTCCAAGCTGGCTGAGTTTAATTCTTCAGCTCAGAGGCTGTGACCAGTCAAAGACCTGCCCTCTGACAGGGGCAGGCGGGGTGGTGACCTCCCTTCCCACGGGAGGGACAGCCCAGAGACAGCAGTCACTAGGAGCCCTGAGCCCTCAGCCTGGGTTGGCCTAACTAGCAGCTAGCTTTGAGAGGGAACATTAGTCACACTCTCTCGGAGCTGCGTGTCTCATCCGTGCCATGACTAGATTGCCAGGTGACTATTTGAGCTCCCAAATCTAGAGCCCTTTCTTCTCCCTCCTTGAAGACTCACTTCTTGCCCATGGCCTGACACAGGACTGGGGAGGAAGGTGTGTGTGTGTGGGTGTCTGTGCACCTCAAAGGCTGCCTCGGCTGACTGGGGAAGCAGAGGGTGGCAACTCTGGTTCAGGAGAGAGCAGGTAGGATGGAATACCACCCACGGCCAGGCACGATCTCCCAGGGGTCCCGCGTTCTGTCCTCTGAAGCAGGGGATAGGTGGGTGGGAAGGAGGGGTTTCAAGAGCGAATGCTGAGATGAGGGTCCCAGGGGACAGGGCTGCTCTGAGTCCGGCACTCTTCTGAGGCCTACACGGGAAGCTGGCCTCCTTGGGACAGAAAAGTTGAAATGGATTTAACTACTTCCCCCTTTTCCTTCTGGGCAGTCTCGCTGTTGGCACCCCCTCCACTGTGAGTCATTGGCAGGAAAGAGGGGGAGCGAGAGGGAGAGAGCAGAGGAAGGCTGGGAAGAGCCGTGGGAGGCAGAGGAGAGACAGGCCGAACAAAGTGCAGTCCTTAGGGAAGCTGGTGCAGGAACTAGTCTGCCTGATGCCTTGCTCTGGGAAGAAGGGGGCAGGGTCTGAGCTTCCGGCAAGACCTTCCATTTTTCACTTCCCTCCTTCCTACGCCCCAGCCACCCCCACCTTGCCCCTTTCAAAAGCCCCACTCTGGCATCTGTAGGGTGCCAGTGGAAGGTGCTTGCTAGCAGCTGAGCCCAGGCCTGAGCGAGGGGCAGGAAGGGGCTGTGTCGTGGTCATCTCTTACTTGAGCTGTGGGTGAGGCTGGGGCTTCTGCGCTGGAGCGGCCGGGGCTGGCTGTGCTTCTGCCAGGGAGTGGCTGCTGGAGGGTGCATCTCCGTGGGTGGTGGGGCCGCCCGGCCGAGGTGGAGCCGAGAAGGAGGAGGAGGAAGAGGAAGAGGATGATGATGAGGAGGAGGAGGAGGAGGAAGATGGCAGTGATGGTCCCCGGGGGAGCCGGCGTGGAGGCAGCACCTTGCCTGGGGGATGCATTCCTTGGGGTTGCCCAGGGCCCCCTAGGTTCGGTACAAGAAAAACTTCATAATTTAACCATTATCAAGGGGTTTCCTTATTAAAATCTATGTTTCAAAGGGTGTGCTTAGTTCATTATCCAAAGGATAAGCTCTGTTACGGGAAGCAAACCACGGGGGCTCGGATGGGCTCCGAGGGCATCCAGGCTCGTGCACACACTCAGACTCCTCTGCCGCACGCCCCGCAGACACGCACCACCCCAGTCCCAGCAGCAGTCAGAGGACAGAGAAGACACTCCAGGGTGAACAGGCCTCCCTCCGTCACAGGCCCCTCAGACTAGAGGGAGTCCTTCTTCCCCAGAGGTTCCAGACACCCTGTTCCAGGCCCACTACGAAACCCTGAGCCCACAAGGAAGATGTTAGCGGCCATCAAATTGCCCCCGACTCACGGCTACCCTCTGCACGGTAGGATCGGACCATTGTGATCAAGAGGGTTTCTCACTGGCTGCTTTTCAGGAGATAGATTCCCAGGTCTCTCTTTTTTGTCTGCCTTAGTCCGGAGCTTCGCCGGAACCTATTTAACATCATAGCAACTCGCAAGCCTCCACTGAGAGATAGACGGGTGGCAGTGGCAGCCGCTAAGGTGCACTGGCTGGGACACAAGCTGGATTTCTCACCTGGGAGGCAGGAATTCTACCACTGACCCATCAGTGCTCTGAAGATTCAGTACCCCAAACCGCAGGGTTGTGAAGTCAGTGCAGACTCGTAGGGACGCTACAGGACAGGGTAGAACTGCCCCACAGTATTACAGACGCAATCTGTCTGGTCCTCCTTCCCCAGAACCAAGCGCTAGTGGGTTTGAATCGAAGACCAGGGTGGTGGGAGGAGCACGGGGTTGGGACTTAGAAGACCCGAGAAGGGGTCCCTCAGCGGGCTTAAAGAGTGAGTCACAAAATGCCTCTGGGCTTTGGTTTTTCCAACGGTGACCTTGTTGAAAAGTAAGTCCTACACTTCGATATTGTTCAAGATGGTCATTAGGTTTCTAAGACGATCATGGATGAGAACGCGCTTCGAAAGCATCCTGTGCGTTACCATCCCAAGCTATCCATCCGCACAAGCGTCCCTGCCACACACCACACCAAGACCAAGCCCCTTTCCCCAGGGAGCCTTGTGACATCCTCTTGGTAACATCCTCAGGTGGTTCAGCAGGATGCACCTCTCAGGTGTGTGTGGACCCCAGAAAGCCCTGGGGACTCAGTGGGCCCCCTCAGGAAAGGAAGAGCTCCAGAAAGACGCAGCACACCTTCCCCCAGCAGGAGGCACAACACCATCTGGAAGCCACCTGCCCTCCGGGGGTTGGCAGCAGTTAAGTGTGGCAGACTTAGATTTCACTGGACGTTGGGGCTTATCCTCTGGAGTCCAAAACACCCATCAGCACACTCTGACTAGTGGGCCTGGTGTGCCATTGGCCAGGGAGACCTGCTTTCTCAGGGAAGGAGTGGGCTTCTAGAAGCTCAGCAGCAGCGAGAAGTGTGTTCAGCACAGTTTTCTGGGAACACCAGGGCACATGTGCCCTCAGGTGACAGAGAATTGCACACCTGTACCACTGCATTGGCCATTATTGTCAAGCCCTCTTTCAGATCAATGACCAAATCATACCAAAGTTAGGGACATGTAAACAAATAAGCGAGTACACAAATACATGGAATTTTTGTGCTGAAGAGGTTAAGGTTCCAATCAAATACTTAGTGAAGAGGGCTCTTGGTAGACGAGCAGATTATTTCGCATTACTCATCTCCCTCCCCGCAACCCCCTACCTCTCCCAAAGTTTGCATCCTTCATATGAGGGCAGTGTTTCTTGCAAAGTAACGCAGGTTGACAGCTCAGTCTCTTGTACCGAAAACCTGATTGCCTTCCCACTCGAACAGAGATACTTGAGTAACCAGAAACTTTACAACTTAACACTGAAGACAGATATAACTTTTCCTTTATTGCACATGAAGCTGTACAAGAGAGTCACAAAAGAGAGGAACTCCAGTCACACTTCCAGCATTGGCTGGGGTTCTCCCAGCTGAATAAGGTACAAAAAAAGGGGATGACATCAGAAAAGAAATGGGTACAAAACACCTGAACAGCAGCCCTAGACTGTGGCATGGGATGCCCCAGGCCACAGAGTTGTCCCTTGGCATGCTGCCTGGGGGCATGGGACAGTCAGGACCTGCTGTCTGCTTGTGCGTGGCCCTGGGAGCCATGGCTAGTGTCTCCCCCGACCCCCGCCTGAGAGGCCCTGGCGGGTGCCACACAGCAACCTAACTGAATTCAAATGGCAACTTCTTATTTGTGGCTCACAAATGTCACGTGAAAAGCACCTGATGTTCACACTGATCACATGCAGAGAAGCAACACCACCATTAGCTCACCACTGCCACTTGGACGAAAATAAAGTAAACAAAACAGACATCTTCCTCCATTTAAGACCTGTTGCTCTAATCCTTTCTATCACTGCAGCAGACTGGGAGATCATTAAGACATGATTCTTCTGCAACCCATCTGGAGGGCAGATATGCATCTATGTATATATTTATAACAGCTTAACTACCATTATCCTCTGAGGGATCACAAGTGAGAACATTCACACCCAGTGCATTTCCCTGCCTGCAAATTTGCCAGTAACCATAGGAGAGACCAGGGCATGTATCCCTGGACCTGTCAGCCATGTGACATCCTGCCGATGCGCAATACTCTTTAGACCTGGTCCCCAAGACCAAGTGACATGTCAAGACAGGGGTGAGAGGGAATGTAAAAGTAGAACCGGAAGCATTTCTTCTAAAAGGCAAACTGCTGGCATGAACTCCCAGAGGGCAGCTGGTGCCAGGAGATGGCGAGAGGAGGCCCTGAATGAGCACCCCACCCCTGCTTGCTGGAGTGAGGAGGGCTTAGCGGGGAGGGCTCTCTCAGGGGCATGGCTAAGGCCTCAGCCCCCAAACAAGACCCCACACAAGTGAAGGTCTGAGGAAATGCTTCCCAGGAAGGGTCCCACTATTTCTCCTTCAGACTCCGAGAGCTTTAAGAATGGCTGAGAGTAGAAGCCCCATGGAGTCCACCCCCAGGTTCTGTCGGCAGTGAACCCACTCGGACAAAATGGGCGTTCTGGATTTGGTCTGGAGTCAGGATGCCTTGGGAGAGGCCCAGAGCAGAAGAGCAGGCCCTTCCCGGACTCTGAGTGGCTCCCTGCCTTCTAGGCCCTGCGTGGCTAAGGAATGGCCTCCACACTGATGAGGCTTTGGGGGGAAATACAAAGCAGCCTAAGTCCCACAGAAGCACATGGGTGGCCAATTCAGAAACAGCAATGGAGGAAAAACACCTTGCGGGAGACGGAGGTCAGAACACAAAAAATACATCTTTACTCCATATTGCACATCAGCGGCCCCATTTTATATATATATATAAATCTCATAGCTAATGAGCTAATAATAAGGACAAAGGGGTACACCAGAAGATAGGGTTTGGAACATGTTCCTGGAAACGGCTTTGCTCATTACGTTTCAAGTCATCACGACACACACAAGCGCTCCACGGGCACAGCAGCCTCGTCACGTGGACTCACACGGCACCACAGCTTAGCAGGAGGAGGAACAGGCAGACACAGGCCTTCAAATTCAACAGATGGAGCGATGGAAGCGAGACCTCAAGGGTGTCTTAGCCGCCTATCTATTTACCCTAGGCATGCAGAAAGGACGCAGAAAGCACAGCTGTGGGCGACCCCAAGCACACATGTGGAGGTATGCAGGGCGGGGGGGCGAGGGTGCTGATCTGAACCTGGGGAGAGAGACCCCGAGGGGAGTCTGGTTTTCTCATGGTGGTCCCATTTCTCCCCTACCCGCAGCCCCCCGACTCCTCTTTCACCCCACGTTATGTCAGATTTCAAAAGAGAGACGGTCAAGCCACCCCGAGCGGGGATTCACACTGTCCTCGGAGAGGCCCAGTTCTCATGTACATGGTTGACACACAGCCCTGGAAATCACAAGTTACACAGAGAAACGTCAGTGAGTGTTACAAGCACGGACAGGAACAGGCAAACGACCAGACAGAGGAGCTGACGCCGCGTCGGAAAAACACAGTCCATCAGCATCGAAGGGGTGCAGAGGTGGGACCGGCAGGAGGCTCCCCTCCCGCCCGCCTTGCTTTTCGTCTTTTCTTTCTTTCTTTGTTTTTGGCTTAAATTTTCTGCTTTGACAAATTAACCACTGATCGCTTTTAAGAAGCTTGGACTTGTTTGGGCCCTACTGCAATGCCATTACAGTCGAGAATATACTGTAAACAACCTTGGGGGGGTGGCCGCTGAGGCGGGGTCTTGCCGGAGTCCGGGTCCTTAAGCGCTCCGCTCTGGAAGACAAAAAGGCAAGATGGATCACAAGCCCTGCAGGTGAAGTCCAAGGAGAAACCCTGCAGCTCTGTGGTCCAGCCTCAGCCTCGGAGACCCCGCCAGGGTGGGCCCTCCTGCCTCCCTCCCGTCAGAAAGGCTTCTGCAGGGGAAGGGAGTTTGAGCTTGGACCATTCTGCTGGCAGCGTCTGCCACCGCGGGAGCTTCAGCTTCCTTTAAGCCGGAGTCTTCTCCCACTACCTGGCTTCTCCTCTGGCGCTGGCCGGGCCTGGAGGTGGCCCTGCACAGACAGTGCAGGTTCCCGAGGGAAAGGAAGAGCTATACAAGCTCCCAGGCTGAGTTGGGGGCATCAGTGCTCCAGGGGGAGGCAAGGCAGTGGGGCTGGAGTTCACTGAGACAGGGTCAGTCCTGGGCCAGTAGCTGGGGTCCCAGCTACTCCATGGGCTGCACCGCTGTGGCTCCCACAGGGAGGACCTGGAGGGAGGGACCCGTAGTGTGTTTCCCAGAAGCCTTCTTACCCAGAGGGCAGGTAGAAGATGCTAATGTTTGTGGACGTGCTCAAGGCCAGGCTGTTCTTCAAAGGGCCCGCTACATGATTTTACCCAGCTTGGGCTCACTCCCCCATCTCCTCCCTCCCTCTTCCCAGTCCTGGCTGATTATGCTCTGATAGGATCAAAGGCTCCAGAGGACGACATTGGTGTGTCCAACATATTCGAGGCAAGGAGACTTGAGCTGATCTTGAATTCAGCCAAGGGAAATGCTCTTGTACAAGCTGCCAAGTGTGCCAATAGTGACATCATGGGTGGGGGGTGGGGGTGGGGGGAAGGGGGACTTCCGAGGCGGGTGACAAAGTGGCATCCTCCCACTTCCTCTTCCGGGCTACTTGCCCCTTGTGACATGCCCCCAGCATCCTTCCCCCCTCCCCCTGCTCCCCACTCCTGCTCCTTCTGCTGCTGTTTCCCGGACCTTCAAGTCTGTCTAGACCTGTTTTCAGCTTCGCTCCAGGGATGGGGAAGTGTCAGCCTTTCCCGGGCCTTTGAATGCAGTCAGAGCATGGCCTCAACCATTCTATTATTGGTAAGGACAGGGGGTCCTTCGAAAGGTCCTTGGAGTCACCCAATCACAGCCTGCCTTTGCTATCTATAACCCCAAACTCTCAGTCTCCAGTGCTGCGTCCCTCCTCCTCCAAGCACTCTCTTGGGCTCTGTCATACCCAAACCCATTTAGCCTTCTTCCTGGCAAGTGAGAGACACCATGTTCTCTTGACCAGTGCTGGGACCTGAATCACTTCTTCCTTAGACTATAAAACAGTCTCTAGTCTCTTGTTCCTTCTCTCTCTGATCTGTCTTCTCCTAAGTGCCTCCGCTAACAGTCACTCCGCTGCTCTCGATCATTTATAGCTGGCCTTCGCTGTGTGCTTCCCAGGTGTGGCGGGCTTTCACGCGGCATCTCCCTTCACCCCACACTAACTCTATGATGTAGGGATTGTTATGATCCACACCCCTCATTTTTAGATAAGGGAATTGAGTAAGTCGAGAAACGTCCAAGGTCCGCCAGCGGAGCTAAAGCAGCTGAGCTGGAGCCAGGCTGTCTAACAGCATCCACGCGCCTCAGGCTGGCATTGGAAAACATCTTCAGCATGGTCCTAATCACCCTGCCAGCCTTATCTTTCAGGCAGGAGCCTGCGTTGTTTATTCTCCTGTCTAGGCCACACCACTGTTTAGGCTGGGTGCCCTCTGGAAGGTCTTTTCTCCTTTCGAGGTCCATCCAACCCAACACATGCCAGAGGCCAAAGTCAAGTGCCACCCGCCTTGAGAAATCTTCCCTTTGACCACCCCCTTGACTATGCCCGCCCCTCCCTCTGAAATCCCATAAAGGCACCGCACAAACTTGGGCCACCAAAGGGGCACCTGAAGACTTGTAGACCCTTGAAGGCAAAGAATGTATCTTTATCTTCTCACAGATGGCCAACAAATGCACACTCCTTGCTTCTCCCCCACTCCCTCCCTGCCAAGAAAAACTGGAATACTGAAACTGGAAATGATTTCTTTTAAAGATAAAATTTATGAATAAATCCATGAAATGGGAAATGGACTGGATAAACACTAAGGTTTTCAAAGTTCAACCCTTGGGGGTGCAGTGGTTATGAGTTGGACTGCAGTCCATAAGGTTAGTAGTTCGTAACCACCTGCCACTCCATGGGAGGAAGATGGGGCTTTTGACTACCGTAAACAGTTACAGTCTCAGAAACTTACAGGGGCAGTTCTGTCCTGTCCTCCAGGGTCACTGCAAATCCGTACTGACTCGATGGCAGTGAATTTGCTTGTTTATGGTTCCTTCCACCCTATGCATCTATGATTCCACGAAAATTCCGACCCTGCCAGTGGGATGAGCTCACCGGAGGGCTGGTAAGACTGCCACCAAGAAGACAGGCGAGGGCTCTCTTTGGCCACCAAAATCATATACAAGCCAGACCCCCAAGATGACCTGGGTCCAAGGTTCCCTTCCATAGGCATCAGGAGAAATGCTCCCCCAGGGGGCAGCCTTGACTGGAGCCTGGTTACATGCCTAGACCATCCTCGTCTGGTGCTCAAGGAGCTTCTCTTGTCCCCGCTCCACAGAGGACTTCCCAGGGACTGTGGCAGCCGCGGAGGAGAGTCCCCAAGGACTTTCCCTTGCCAGGCAGAGACACTCTGGCTCCACCCACCAGCCTTCCGTCTGCTAGGGGGCTGAGGGCCTAGTCCCTGCGGGCTTGGACTGCCATGAGATCTGTCTCCAGTCACCACGAGCCGCCGCCTGGGATGGTGCATTCCAAAGAAGTCTGGCCACTCTGGCGTCTCTATCAAACTGGCCTGTGGCCAGCCTGCAGCAGGAGCTCATGGGCAGCCTGAACCGCAGAGCTTCCCTCTGAATGCTAGACTGACACAGATAGGTGACCCTACCACACCCAACGTGGATGTCCCACTGCACACCCAAAAAGAACGGGTCTACGTGGCATGCTAGTTGCAGAGGGGAAAAGCAATAGTCTGGTCTTCTAAGACATCAGCTCTCTCCACCCTCCCCTTCCCTGTGGTCTGGTGGGAGGCCACAAGGGCACAGTGCACGGTATGGTGGACAGCTTCCTGAACGAAACCCAGACCCAGGCTCAATCCTGACTCACAGAGACCCTATCAGAGAGTAGAACTGCCCCTTGTGGATTTCTGAGACAGTACCTCTTTACGGGGGCAGACAGCCTCATCTTTTTCCTTCAGAACAGCTGGTGGGTTTGAACCACTGCCCCCGAAGTTAGCAGTTCAATAAGTAACCCTCTATGCCACCAGGGCTCCTTTGCTCTCTAAACTGGGGACCCGGAAATTCAGATTTCCTGATTAGCAGCCTTGTGGCCTTGGACAAGTTACTGGCATTTTCTCCATTCATATGTAAAACAGAGATAGAAACGCCAGGCCAAACCACCTCACATAAAGGTTGTGAGGCTCAATGTTATGGATACGCTTTATAAACTGTAAAATACGAGGCAAATGCAAGTGAGCATCACTATTATTTAAGTAACATATTACCAGGCCAAAGGAATGAAGCGCTAAGGGCAGAATCTCCTGTACCAGGAAAGAAGAGGTTTTTGCATGGTTTTCTGTGACCTGGCATTTGTCGTTCACCGGGTGGGGGTGGGGGTGGTTAAACTACAATCAGACGACTCAGATGGCTCAGAGCTGGGCTGTACCATGACCTCTAGATATTGCAGTCTTGGACCAACCAAGGTCCCCGCAGATGCGGAAAAGTCCATTCGGAAACAGTAAATATTAGCTTTGGAGGTGATTGGAAAGGAAATCACTGGCTTGGAAGAGAAACCAAGCCCAGGGGTGTGGGTTTGTGGGTTTTTGTCAAAGGCACCTCTAATTCCCATCCTGCCGCTTTTCAGCAGATAAGCGAGCAGAGAGGAGCGCCCATCTGAGGGCACTCAGCGTGGAAAACTGAGGAAGTTAAGACCGTGAGTGACTCAGTTCTTCGGGGGTGTTGGCCTGCGCCCAGCTGCCCCCACACCCCCTGAGAAGGAAGGGCCTGTGCTTGCTTGCTCAGCATTTCTGAGACAGGAAATTGGGAAAGGGTCCCAGGGTCTGGCCCCAGGAAAGAGGCCAGGGCAAGCTCCTTGCTGGGCCGGGCCATGCCACGGAACTATTCTGATCAGCTCCCCCAGGCCCCATGGCCCCGGTCTAGGACCCCAGGGGGAATGAGCCAGTAGGAAGGAATGTGCTCTGCAGGCTGTAGGGTCAGTCGGTGCAAAGGGAACATCATGCCTCCTGGCACCTTGGGGTCTTTCTGGGCTCACCTCTGCAGTCAGCCAGGGCCACTTCCTTCCTCGGAGAGGTCCTGAAAGGTGCCCGAGGAGGAGCGGCTCCTCCTTCCTCTGCTCTGAGGACAGAGCTCATTCATCTCCTGCCCTGGGGCCGGCGCACAGCCTACGGACATAGGACCGTGTCCCATGGGGGCAGTGCATGGGTCCTACGGGGGCACAGAGGGCCAGGTCACCCAAGGTCAGAGTGTCAGCTTCAAGTGATTAAAGATGTCCCTTAAAAGTTAGGACAGCCCTAAAATAGTCAGTTTCCCTTAATAGTCTGTCCAAGGATCTGGTCACCAGTGAATCCATCGGAACCTGCCTCACATCTCTCCACATTCTCAGCTCATGCTCACTGGGGAACAAATTCCCCAATGTCAGCCGCTGTGGGAAGCAGGAAGGCCTCTCATTTGTCCTAAATTTACCTCGTCAAAGCTCTAGCGAGGCCCTCTTATTCCCATGTTTGGGATTTGAGGAACCATTGTCTCCCTCAGTCTACAAGCATGACTCCAATGATACTCCTTTTTAACCCTTGGTCCCTCTCACCAAGGAAACCTCATTTTTATGAGCCTTTGTGGCCGGAAGGGCCTGGCTGGGAAGGCTTTCAGGACTTCCTTGGGCCAGGGGGGGAAAAAAGCAAGAACAAAACCAAACAACTCAAGCCTACTGCTA